ATATATAAATAACAATAACAATAATAAGAAAATTACCTCGTTTAACAATAGTAGTTTTGTTGAAGTGCAACTGCCACTAAGTTCTCCATAACAAATAAAATAAACCGCGCTAGCATCTTCAGCAAAGAACTGTAGATTTCGAGCCCTAAACTGCAAAACTGAGATCATTCCCAAAAAAACTGTAGATCTACAAGTTAAAACTGTAGACATGGCAACACTGGCTACAATAGAGGAAATACAGCATAATTCAAACTCGCTAACATTTTCTTATTAATTTTTGCTTTACGATAGAGTTAAAAAGTCTTCATGCCTTTTGAACTTGAATCAAGATTAATCAAATATATTTCACACTTTGTAAAAACAAGTCAAATCAATTTATGTAAATTAAGTATAAAATATACAATCCATTTTCCTTTTTAAGTGTGTTACCATTTATGTATACATACAACTGTACTGAACGTCATTTGACACTTGACAGATGCAAATGAAATGCGTTCTTCAATCTTGTCAATATTAAATTGAGAAACTATTATTATAACAATGATGAAATATTGTGATTTTGAAAAGTAATTTAACTTAATTTTATATTGTAGAAATCAATTTATATTTTGTGATAAACAAAATGGCATTGTCTAACGTACTTATGTTGAGCCAAATTGCAGGTTATGTTATTGCTTTGATTTTATCACTGTGCATTCTAATTCCTATGTCTTTACACCATAAAGACTTCAAGTAAGTTAATAATTTTTCATATTAGCAACTTAAAACCTCATGGTAATATTATTGATATATGAATATAACGGATATAATAAACTTGTAGGTAACAATTTCTATATATATATATATATATATATATATATATATATATATATATATATATATATATATATATATTGATGAGCTATTTAGAATCGGGCAGTAACACCAAGTAAAAAAAACTAAAGTAGTTTTGAAATACTTTATTTATCCATACGTTTCGGTCTTCATTTTATATGATGTAGGAGGAAAATAATATAAAGTTATAGAACTTATATATAAATACTTACAGAAATTAATTATACAAAAATACACTACACTATTACACTGTGATAAACCAAGCTATTAATAACTGGAACATTTAAACTAATTATTTTTTGACAATTTTTGGTTACATTCTAGTGTGTACAGATTGACTAACGTCTAGAAACTAAATGAATTGTGTTTACAAATTTTGCGAAAGTGTAAAAAGACTGGCAAACATATTCATACAGATATGGTGGTGTTTTGGAAATGGTCAAGGATTATTTTATAGTCATTGCAAAGCGAATTGTTGTCCAATCTTTTATTTATGGCCCTGTCGTTGTGTAAAGATATATACAGTGGCGTCGGAACCGTGTGGGCTGTGTGGGCTTGAGCCCACCCATGAATTTTGATGGGGGGCCCACCCATGAATTTTGATGGAGGGAATTGTATGAGCGTATAAAAAAAAACGAACCCACTGCCTATCAAAAAAAAAAAAAAAAAACGAGCCCACCCATCAAAAATTTGCTTCCGACGCCACTGGATATATATATATATATATATATATATATATATATATATATATATATATTATATAGTTATTATTATTTTAGTGGGCAATGTCTATTATTTTCAAATGGAACTTGGCAAGAAAAAGATGGCCAATTTGTTGCTGATTGGGCTTCTGGTTCTAATTGCATGTACACCGTTGTAGTGGGTGTCGTAACCTTGTTGATATCTCTGATTCAAATATATAGGTAAGGGCATTAACTTTAAACTCAAGAATCAATATAGTAATTATCATAATTTTGATCTTTAAATAAATATGAATAATAAATGTATGCCATGAACCCCTATATAATTATAACGTTACCACCTACTTTCCGCATTCCTGATTTTTTTAAATCATTCATCCTTTACATTCACTCATCGCTGCTCATACTGTCCGTCTTTTTTATCTTTAATATTTCAATATGAGGAATGTAAAAATATATAAATTTTTATTTAGGATATCAATATCAGCTTACCAGGGTAGTGACAGTCCATTTATATCCGTGCTTACAGATGTTGTCATAAGTCTAGGAATATCAGCCATGTCCTTTATTGCTGCATTAATAATAACATTAGGATTTATTGTCTGGTGTCAAAATATGACTCAAAGATTTCCATCGTAAGTATCAACAAAATCTGATTATGTCAAGCAAAAACTCTATTAATATTTATAATTTTACCTGAGATGTGAAATTGCTGCTGGCCAAGATATAATGAAGTCAGATAACATTAACACAGTAGGATTTTATATTCAATTGGGCACAGCACAGGCAAGTAACAAAAAAAAAAATCCTATATTGTTTCATTGTGTAACAATTATACCTATTATAGTTTGGTGCTTGGGGTTCATTTGCCTGTTGGGTCGGCTTATGTGTATTCGCTATGTTGAAGCTATGCCGTTATCATGAACTAGAGAACATGAGGGCATCAATGTTTAGAGAAAGACAACGTGTCGTTTTTGATGAGGAACAGAAAGATGGACCTAGCGGTTCAGGTCTGGAAGAAAATGTTGATGATAAAGTTTTGATATTAAACCAAGATTAATTTTAAAATAAAACTATTATAATATATATATATATATACATATATATATATATATATATGTGTGTGTGTGTGTGTGTGTAAATATATGTATTTAGTATGCTTGTATGAAAATTTCCTGATATGTCTCACTTTTATTTTTAATAACCCTTATGAATTAAATCACTATTATTTTTCTAATATAGCAGAATATAGAGTTACATAAGCGCACATACTATACTTTATAGGGAATAAGTATGAAAAATGATTGCAATGTTCAAAAAACTTTGAAATTTTGTCATTTTGTAACTCAAATAGTATTTGTCTTAATGTATCTCTTACAATTGTCAAACTATCAAAGGTAAACTAATGTAGACGTGTAAATAATAAAAATAAAATAATGAGAATAGCATTAAGTTATGTAGCAACATACTAAATGGTTGAATTTGTATCTGTATCATAATCTGCGCTCGATAAAGGGTTAATGTGATCATTATGAATGAAGTATTTGTTTTTAGATGAAAATATTTTATATACTTATTTAAATAAAAAAATAAAAATATTTAGTTTTTTATTTTGCCTTAAAAATGATAAAAATGTCAATAGGTTTCAGGTTAAAATTAAAATCGGTAAAAATAATAATAAGAATTTAATCAATGATAAAACTATTTAAAATTAATGAACATCAATTTGGATCAAAACATTTAAAAATTAACTCAATAACATTAGCGATAATAATGTCATGATAAAGAGGACTGAATTCTGAACAAAAACTTTTTTAATTATTATAAAGTTGGCTTCAATATGAGTAAAATAAAATAAAAATAATGGTCCGATCAGCACAACTGGAGATATTTAATCTAACGCCGAGTATGTTCATACAAATTGAGTAATAATAAAATATTATAAATATTTTTAAATTTTATTTATATCGCATAAATATTAAATTATTCTAAATCGAAATCGCAGTTTATTATAATCATCTCAAAAAATATAAAAATACAAAAAAAATTATCAGTAGTAAAAAATCAGTTCAATAATAAGTTAATCTACATTAAAATTACATTCTTAAAATTAATATAAATAATTATTAAATCAATATTTTCATAAATATTTTCACAAACATATGTTTATAATTTTAATCCCAATATAAGAGCTTCATAATTAATGTAATATAATGAAAATACATATTTATAAATTATAATTATAAAATCAATATAACTTGATAACATATTATATAAAATAAACAAAATTAATGATAACTATAATATATACTCAAGTTCATACTTTTTTTGATAAATTCTTTTGGTTAAATAAAATTGGATTTGAATTACTAATATGAAACAAAATTGTTTCTAATATGAAAAGTTGATAAATACTGATAATAAATTTTTAATATTATACTATTGATAGTATAGCGGCCTAGAGCATCATCAAATTTTGCAAAACCTTCTGTCTGTATCAACTATAGAAACGTTCGAAGAATAAAATAGTGTTCTTGAAATTTTGAACTATTCCAATAAAATAAAAAACAGACTCTTTAATATCTGAATATTAAATAATTAACTTTATGTAAATTATGTAAATTCTTAATTAAAATATGTAATAAAATTAACATGAAAAATAGTTGATATTTTACAGAAACTTTTATTAGTTACGTAACAGGCCATTACGTTCTTGAGGCGGTCTGTCACATCTGTTACGTAATATTAACGTGTTAATTACGTTTTGTGGTTTACTGGGTATTAATAAATTACCCAAATGTTTGACCATTTGATATGCTTTAGCTACTATGAAAGTCAGAAAATATTATCATCAGTTTCACATATAGTATTTTACCTGATACTATAAAAATATCGATATTGGGTTCGTTCCATCCGAGCAAATCTGACAGTCCGAAACTGTTTCAAACTAGACCAAACTCTTTCTGATTTTTTTATGGCAGTTGGAAATGGTTTGGTTTGGATACATCCAACGCGTTCGAACTCGGAGCTCACTCGATAATAATAATAATTATTATTTTAATACATATATATATATATATATATATATATATATATGTGTGTATATATTAGACATATTCTAATAAAATATTACTTAATTATCAATGAATTTGTTTTTTAATATTTTCTAGTTATATATCGTTATGTCGCTTTTAATCTAATATTCTACAATATTTGGACTCCTGTAAATTCATTAAATTTTTAATGTTCTATTTGAGATTAAATAACATTATATTTTAATCGTATTAAATTGCGGAGTTTTTGTTTGTGCCGAATACAAACACAAAATGATAGTTTCAAACTCATCGGACTGCTTGATGGAACGCATTACTGATAGTCCGCAACAGTTTGGAATCCGAAATTTTGGATGGAACAGAAAAAAGTGTTCTGCGCATGCGCGGACAGTTCCGGACTGTCAGATTGACTCGGATGGAACGAACCCATTGAGGTCTAGCCTTCTTAAAATTGAATACATTTGATGTTTGGAATATATATATATATATATATATATATATATATATATATATATTTATATATATACCACACCATAATAAATATAAAATGTAATATAACAAATTCATGTACCAACAGTATTTGAATTCTCAATATGCTGATAAACTGGATACTTTGGAGTAAATCCTTCAAAACCCAAGGTTTGTTTGGGATTTTCATTTTCAATTATACTTTTGGTGTGATGGAAACTTTCTTCATAGGTGGGCACTAAAAATTTAAATCGAAAAAATTTGACTAATTTAATTAATCAAATTATTTTTACTAGTTTACTAAATCATGATTTACTAGACCTGCAGGTCTAGCCGTTTCGGAGATACAAAACAAAGAGTGCAGAATATAGCAATTAGATTTTTGGGAGAACTGTGCATTGATTTGAATGATTAAAAAAACATTTCATTTGTACTAATTGAATTTTTACAAAAGCAGGTCCAGCGGTCTCGGAGATCCAGAAAAAAGTTAAGAAAAAATGCCATTCGGCGGTCGTATATATTTCGACAGTATGAATAACAGACATGAATGGGTATCAAAAACTTCAAAAATTTTCCAAGTTTTCAAAAAATATCAGTATTATAAAAATATCCAAAATATACTATTATACTAATATTAATACTATATAAAAAAACTTACAATATTCTTGCAACAAAGGTGCGCTAGGTCCTGGTGTTACATTAAGATTTGGTGGTGAAGCTGGTGCCGTAATTGGATTCATAGCTATCAAAGGTATGGTTCCTATTACTATGGGAAGAGTTATATCCAAATTATCGTACAATCGGTTAACCCTCGCCAGAACCTGTAGAGATAATTCAATAATACACTATACAATGTAAAACAAAGTTGCACTTTTAAAATTGCCCAGTAAACACGCGATGTGACCTAATCTAATAATGGTACTCTCGACATCATGATCAAGATCTCTTTGAACTTATTTCTAAATATCTGAATTTTCTTTGAATTTTCGAAATCGGTTTAGATTTTATATTTACATGATGATTTTACCATGTATCACCTATGAAAAAGAAGGGGCTAAAATTCCTTAAAAATCGATCACTTGATTAATGGATGCCCCCTTACTTGTTTTTTTTTTTAAGAAAATGATGAAGACTTTAAGCCCGTTGAAGTTAATCAGAATAATTTCAATTAAGTTCTATAATTTTACCTCTATTTGATATTTAATATCTATGATGTTACAATATGGCAAGTCAGTCGGTGGCATTGGAGGTAGTTTTACTGAATGTGAGAGATTTGCGCTAGTGTTTCTTTTGACACCTGGCGCAATACTTTCAGAAAGTAAAACTTTTACTTCTTTGGTTCGTTTGTGCGGCGTTTGAAAATGATACTGGATTAACTGTAATAGACAAAATTAAGTAATAAATCATTTTCTACAAAACAAAAGTAAAAAATATAATTCTACAAGGCAGTAAATCGTCTAATTATCAAACGATGTTCTCTTACCTGATAAAGAGAACATCTCAAATTTTGGACCTTAATTCTGCTCCGGTTGGCCACTTCGATTTCTAAGTCAACTTCTTGGCCAGGAACGTAAGCTCTGGTGGGTATCCGCACTGATAAATTCAGTGGACCAGAAAGACCACAGCAGAAGTATTGAGTGTTCTCCACTTGAAGAGGCCACTGTGATTAAACCAAAATTATATAAAATTGAGAAAAATTAAGTGTTGGTGGAGTTTTACCTTAGGGACAGCAATGAAAACTGTCTGATATGAATTAAGCAATTAAAACTAGAAAAAGCAACTTTCAAAATATTGGCGATAGAATTTTGCAATCTTAACATGGCTCATTATTCTTAACGCTTAGAATTTGTTTTGCATATTTCATCGACTTTTTCGAAAAATTCGGGGTGCTCAAATTTTTTCAGTATATTCCCTGTGACCTTAGAAATCTGCTATAAGAATATTTTGGCTGTAGTACAAATACTTTACAAGAAATACGCATTTGAAAATTTTCAATATTTGAAAACAGTGTTAAGCGAATGTCTCAAGAATGGTGAAAGATGTCTTGAATTTTTTTTGACTGATAGATATTTCAAATTCATATTTATATTTCATCCATAAATAAATATCCATAAATAGCAAACATCTATCCCAAAACCTTTAAGAGTTACAAGCGTTCAAATGTTTTTGATGTTAAAATTTTTAAAATTTAACAGTTTTTAGTGGATATCTCGCCATTGGTAAGGGGCATCTTAAAAATTCTTGAGGAGGCTTGCAGATCTTTTGATTTACTATATTTCATTCGACTACAAGACTGCAAGGCCTTATATCAAAACGTTTAAATGTTAGGTGATCCTTAATATGGATATTTCCGAATTTCTTTACTCCCAGAGGCTCAAATGCTTCCTTAATTGATAAAAAAAAATCTGTGAAAGTTTTAGCTCCTAATATTAACTTTAAGATAGTCCGCATTCCAACAAAAGGTTTCTAGTATCAATAATAATATGATAAATTTACCCGATACGATGGCTCCAGATTTAAATCCTTATGTGAAATAACAGTAAATGCCTGTTTGCAATGCTGGTCGAATTTCCAAGGTCTGAGAAGTGTTACTTTGGCGGTGTATCTCACGTAGCCGTGTTTTCCTTCGAAGGAGCAGGGCATGTTCGGAGGCAAAATTGTAGCGAAGTTATAACTGTGTTTTCCGGCAGGTAGTGTCGTCTTTGCACCTATGATCGAACAAATTAATAAAACTACATATATATATATAGACCTATTCTCTGATACACATCTTACACCAAGGCCACACTTTTATCGTTCAATAGTCAATAACGGGGATTTAAATGACTCTTAGATCTTGAGATGTTATTGACAGTGTGCAATTATCGATGTAGGCATACATCGATGTTGTCATACTTTGAATGACTTAGACATCTCGTCTATCAAAGTAACTGTCTAGACTGCAATTTAATTTATATAAAAACAATCAAAATAATTCCAAAAATCCCAAACAATTCAAAACTATGCTCACGGATCACATTAATACTCTGAAACACAATATAGACTTTTTTACTACAAGGTTACAAGTTGTAGGAACCAAACAATAGCACTTATAAGAAACCTATTCGCAAAGTCGGACCCTTGTTATTTTGATATTTGTGCTATTTAAATTTTAGTTTTAACAGGTGAGTGCTTTTTAAATTTGTTACCATTGGTGGAAACTTGTTTGAACAAACATACTTCATCTTTCTCCCTTTGAACCCAAAATCAGTATTGTTTTGCTGCTATCACCTACTTAACCAATGAGAATTATATAAATACAAAATATTATAATTCTTATATTTCATATAATCTTATCTGTTTAACATAATATAAACAGTAATCATAATAAAATAATTCCGGTGAATAATGATACAATTATTTATTTGATGATTAATCAGCTTAATGTATACATTCTGATCGATTTAGAATTAGATAATTCAAATTAATTTATGTTTAAATGTTTGATGTTTTTCTTCTTTGAAAATAAATAATAATGTAATATATTGATAATAATATATTTTTTGTTGTAAATTAACACGTGGACGATATAGCATTCATTTTCATTGTGATGCAGAATGACATAAATGCTGTAGCAGTCAAATTTGAAAGTTAATTATTTTGAATTTAATTTCATACAATCTTACGTTTTTGTAATTATTATACCTCTCAAGGTCATGGCTAATTGATTCTTAGGTATTTTCTATTCTATTTCATCCGAGAGTTGGCTCCTGGATCTTTATATCATATAACAGATTTTAATTACATTTTAATTATTATACCTTTATTTCTTCCCAGTAAATGCGTAACTGATTCAAAATATGTCTCTTCAGCTGAAAATTTTGTGGTCCTTGTCCTTTGTTTATCACCATCGGTGTAATTTTCCTTACCACTACATGAACAACTGGCTTTTCCGACTATCCGGAGTAACATGTCTATTGGGAAAAAAATTAATAGATAGATAATAGAAGATATTGCCTTTAATTATTATTGAAGTATAATTTTACACCCAAACATCAAATATTATATGAATTGTAGAATAAAATACTATTCTACTATGCTCACATTCAACGCTATTGATAAAGAACTTATTTCCTTAGTATAATACATGTACTTGGAACAATTTTTTTCATATTTGTCATTTATCATGTATCATTTCATTTGATCCAATTAATCAAATTTATCTTGTTTATATTATATACTTATATAAATATTATGTAGGAGTAATTTGCCTAGGAGTAAGTTGGTGGCGCCTCTATGGAGTGCGGAAACAATTAAAAATGAAGTAACTGCAATACAACTGTGTTTGCGATATATTTATACTTTTTTATCTATGTACTAACCTTTCATAGTTTTTGGTTTGGTCAATGTCAGAACAACTTTACCATTTAAACTTTGACCAGCGTAAAAAATTGATTGAGGGTTGTCATCAAATTGTATTTCACATTTGAAGGTCCCCATGTTGTCTTTCAAATTTCTAAAAAATAAAAATATGATACTGATAACATATAACTTAATAAGTACACATACATTTATTATTATTCAAAACCGTGCATATGATATAAATAAATTATAATTATGACTATCAAGAATTTAAAATTGTTTATAGAGAAACTATTCAGCATATTTTGATTGATTTATTTTTGAACATGTGATCGAATTATTGATTTTGCTTTCTAAAAGATGTAATAATTCTTTTCCATAGTCTCAACAAAATATAAACCAGTTCCAATTACCGAGGATAAATAAACGAGAGTCCACAAGGTTTAATGTATTCAAATCATGTAGGCATGTTTTTTCAATTCTCAGAACTAAAAGTCTCCGCTAAGTCTGACTCATCATAACAATACTGAGAAAGAGTTATTTGGTTTCTGAGTCGATCGAAAAAATGTTGGATATATTCATATTGTAAAGGAAAATTCAGCAGATTTAAAGAGTAATCCTGAATCGAGTTAGACCAAATTTGGAAATAGTATATATGAGGGCCTTCGATTTTTTGCTCTAAAAGAACTTTTTTAAAATTCATACTAAACCCTTATTGGGTTCTTTCTATATATTAAAAGTTTCTGATACGAAGTGGATTCTAACTAAATTGTTACTCGATTTGACTTGATTCCGATTTGATTAAACTTCATTCCGCTTTATTACAACTAAAATATTATAAAATCTAAATTAAAATTTAGTGCTAACGCTAGTAATTACATAAATTCATTAAAATTTGGAATAATGGGCTGCTCTTATAGGATATACAAGTACGTGTTTGTGCATTACAACTAATATAATTACAAAATTATAAATATTTTTGAAAAATATCAATTCCAAATAGCATCGATTAGTTTTTAGTGGAATTCTCGATCATGTTCTAAATGAACATGGAGATATACATTAAGATCAACTTGAATGGTAAAGCTTTTCCCATGGACGGAGTGTAATCAAATTTTCAACAAAAATCAAATATTCAACAAAATAATAAAATCATTTATTTTAAATAAGTCTGCAAAGTTAATTTCTGCGCAGTAGAGGAGTATGTAGTGCAAAATCCGATAACGGAACGTGATGCAACAACTGGACGGTTTATTTACACAAGACTTTATGGTTTATTTGTTTCATCTGCATGTGAAATTTCATATGTGTTCGTTTTAACATCAACAGAAATAAGAATCCCTTCGATTTTCAGGGTTTAAACTTATAATTAATAAAAGATTTGAAGATTTTCCAATCAACGTAAGTGCACATGCATATTGGTCATTAAATGAGAAAACTACCTTATAAGGCTATTGTTCGAGATAATTGTGTCATTAGATATATGTACATCGTATTATCAGATATTTTATAAAGAGTATAATAATAAGTACAAATTTTGTGTACATTTATATGGGTTCCGTACAAATGTTTAGACGTTAGACGACTACGCGGCTTCAAATCAGCTATACAGCACGATTGTTTAAAAAAATGCTCGAAATTTAAAAAAAAAAAATCAAAATACAAACTAGTTGGTATTGGTATTTTGCCTTGAGTCAAGTTACATAAACTTCCCGATATGTATAAATAATCGATTTAATCAATAAAAAAATCAATTTATGAGTGACTAAAAATAACTGAAAACGAACGAACACATAACTCGTATTTTCCAAAAGCAAATTTTCAAAAATCAACAATTTTTATATTTGAACCAGTTTCTGAAGAACTTTAATGGTCTAGTATTATGTTCATTAAGACTAACTCTATCGTTATATCAAGTAAATCGTCTAATTTTAATTTCAACAAACGTCAAAAAACTACTCTGATAAATTTTTAAAATTAACCACTTATCGTAAGGACGTAATATTTTTCTAACTTACTTATCGTAAGTTCTATAATATATCGCCAAAAAAAAGTTCCATAAAAATCGGCTTCAATTTTTTTTTTTCAACAGTTAATTATAAGAAAACGGCTCGGTAGATTTTTACCTAAAACTAATCAGTATCATTCCCAACTAATATCTTTCGAACAGTTTTTGATTTTTTAAAATCGGTTTGGTAGTTTGACGTTAAATGTGGACGAAAAGTTTAATACTTTTTTTCAAATTACAAAGAAACTGTTCGGCAGATCGTCTCACAAAACTGACAAACGATAGTCCTCATTGAGATACATCAAATGGCTTTTAAATGTTTGAAATCGGTTCAGGCGTTTTTGAGAAAACGTCGATCAAAGGTCTAATTTTGACAAATGTCAGAAAAACGATAATAAATTTTGCAAACTTTGAAGAATTTACAAAATTAAACGGCTTGTCGTAGGGCCGTAATATTTTAGTATGATCTGCAAGACTCAGGTATCTACCGTCAAAAAAAATAATAAAAATCGTCAATTTTTTTTTAACTTTATTACAAGAAAATGGCCCCGCCGATGTTTACCAAAAACTAATCAGCACGATTCACAACCAATATCTATCGAATGGTTTTTGAGTTTTCAAAATCGATTCAGAATTGCGGGCTAAAACGTGGACGAAAATTTTTTCACTTTTCTGCAATTTACAAAGAAACGGCACGGCCGATCGTCAAACAAAACGCTAGTCCTCATCGAAATACATCGAATGACTTTTAAATTTTTGAAATCGGTCCAACCGTTTTTGAGAAAACGTCGATTTACGGCAAAAAAATTGTTCACACACACGCACACACACACGCCACACACACACACATACTTTTTCGAAATTTGGTCTCATTTGATTCAGAATGGCTTGAAACGTCGGAAAAACATAAAATTAGCGAGTCGGATTTTTTTATGAAAACATAAACTTCTCCTTCGGGAAGTTTATAAGCACAAATTTTGTGTATATTTATATGAGTTCAGTACCAATGTTTAGACGTAAGACGACTACGCGGCTTCAAATCCGCTATACAGCACGATTGTTTAAAAAAAAAATTCTCAAAATTTTCAAAAGAAAAAATCAACAAATTTTTCAAAAAAGTAATTTTTTTCAAAAATATCAAAATTTCTCAAAGATCTAATTTTCTCAAAACTTTGCAAAGTTTTTTGTTCTTAAGTCTTAAGGCAATTGTGTTTGTGTATATTACTTTGGCGTCACCACATGCTTGTAACGAATGCAGGAGTGCAGTGAATTCTATACCCTGCATTGTTTACAAATTATTGATTTAACAGTAAATTTCGACAGGTGTTTATTTCATTCGTTAAAATACTGCGTCGACCCTCGTAGTTGTTAAATCATCGAAGAAGCCAGTGTAGTGTGTAGAGCTGTATAAACGCAAACTGAAACTAAGAACGCGAGAGCCGATACCGATGACGACTATGATGGGTGCATTGTACCGCGGATTCACGGGGTCAAGAATTTAATGCACATCGAAACTTCGAGGCAAAACATAAGTAAGGCTTCGAAGACCGCTTTTGTCTAGACATGTTTTTCGTAGAAAATTTGAAATTATCGATACATGTTCTAACTAGCTGTAAGTGGAATTCTATCTTCAGGCAATTAAGACATCGTGCCTTAAGGCAAATTGCTGGAACTTTCCGTACCAAAAATTATTATTTTTTAAAAACGATTAACATTTTTGAAAAAATTTTACTTCGAAAAAATAAGATTTTTGAGAAACTATAAATTTGACAAAAAATTACTTTTTTTTGCAAAAAAAAAATTAAAAAAAAATTTTTTTTTAATTTTTTTTTTTTTGAAAAAAAAAATGTTTTCTTTATTTTGACATATTTTGGAAGATCTGAACTTTTTTGAAAGCTATCGTACTGCTTTAACTGCATAGAGACAAATATCGAAGCGCGTAAGCGCCGCGCCGCTGTCTAACGATTAAACATTGGTACGGAACCCATAGGAATGTAAACAAAATTTATACTTATTGTTAAAATCTCTATAAAATATCTGATAATTTGATGTGCATATGTCTAATGATCATTTTTGACCGCCATGGCATTTTTTCACTTTTTTCACTAGATCTCCGAAACCGCTAGACCTGCCTTCATAGAAATTTAAAAAGTTATTCATCTTGTTAAAACAAGTAAAATGTTTTTTGAATTATTTAAATCGAACGCTCCGTTCTCTTGAAAACTGAGTTACCGTTTTTGGCACTTTTTGCCTCGTATTTTCGGAACGGCTAGACGTGCCTTCGCCAAAAACTAATCAGCACGTCTCCTTATCAATACGAATCGAGTGTTTTTTGAATGATTCAAATCGCTTCATCCGTGTTCCCAAAATCGTCGACGAAAATTTGTATCAACACACACATACATACACGCACACACACACACATACATCCATTTTTTCTAAGGTATGCCAAAATGTTCGAAAACCTTTGAAACGAAAAGGTATATAAAAAATTGCATTTTCAATTTTTTTGCGATTACTATAACTTACCCTACGGGAAGTTAATCAGTACGTCTCCATATCAATACGAATCGAATATTTTTTGAATTAATCAAATCGGTTAATCGGTGTTTCCGAAAATGTGGACAAAAATTTGCATTCGCACACACACATGCACATACATCAATTTTTTCTAAGTTATGCCAAAATGTTCAAAAACCTTTGAAACGTAAAGGTATATAAAAAATTTCATTTTCGATTTTATTGCGATTACTATAAATTACGCTACGGACAAAAGTAAGAACAATACAGTTTTTATAAGGTTATATACTAATAAGCGTTTGATTTAATACATATTTTAACTTCCCGAAGCAGAATTTTGTTTCCGCAAAAAAATCCGATTGGCTAATTTCATTGTTTCTCGCCTTTTCAAGTCATCCTTCAAAGACGTTTTCTTGGAACCTGTTAAACCGATTTCAAAAATTTAAAAGCCAGTCGGAGATATTTGATAAGCACTTGCGATGGTTATATTTGTGATACGATCGACAGAGCCGTTTCTTTCAAACTAGCAGAAATGTGCAAAATTTTCTATTTTGCTATTCAAAAACTATTCGGAAGATAACATTTGAAAATCGAGCTAATTAGTTTTTGACAAAGATCCACCAGAC